GTTTAGGGTTTAGGGTCCAAAGAAAATCAAGACACTGTGAATCGGATTGTAAGCGCTTCTTGCCTTCTGAAAAATGTATGTCATGGTTGTTGCCCGTGGTGTGGGACTTTCATTCTAGTGCTGCTGTAAGCGAGTGCCGGAGTGTTTGAGAAGTAGCCACAAGATTAGGTTCTGGACTCAATGAGGCCCGCAGTTAGCATAATGGGAACATCTATGATTGGGGGGGGGGGGGGNNAGATTTACACGAACGAGGATTCATGACCCAGATCCTGGTACCTGCCTCGTGTTCAAAAGGCTCGAAGGCTAGTGTGTCAGCCAAGACTTGTACTGCTAGCCGACTCTTTTCCCGCATCTCTCACTGTCAAGAGGCAAGCTGGTGATTGCCCCTTTGAAGCCCTATGAGGAGAGGTCCGGGTTTTGTCCTCCCAGCCCATATCCCTTTTGAAACCAAGAACCCCAAATCACATGGCTCAGGTCGTGACGGTGGGGATTCGTAGGCTTTCGTTAGCCAACGGGTTTTTTTGAGTAGCGGGAGGGGAGTAATTCAGAGGCAAAGGCGCCGTGGCCCTCGGCAAAGGTATGGACGTGCGCTCGCCCACTGTCCCCTAGTAACCTCCACCAGACCAACGTGGAACCCCGGCATTGGCAAAGATATTGCCCATCTATCCAAAACACTCAAACCAAAATGGGTTATCTGCTCTGGGCAGGGAGGGTGCCCAATCAAGTCTACCATCCAGCGACGGTAAAGGTTTCTATAGGCCATATAGGGCAAGGGGAAGGCTTCAAAAAAGGGATTCAGTTCCCTATCTAGGGCCCATACCGTGGTAATCTAACGCTTACAGAGCTTTCGGCTCAAAAGGTGGGATGAAGGTNNGGTAGGTGGGTTAAAGGATCCTTGGTACATACTCTACTATATTGGGGCTTATTTCCTCTACCCCACTTTCCTTCATCCCGTCCTTTGAGCCTTTTGATAGAGAGGTTAGGGCTCAAGGCGTAGTCAGGCTTTCCGGTTTAACGATATAAAATGTCTCGGAGTGGTGAATAGCGGGCGCGCTTCGCAATCTCCGTGGACATTTCAGGCACAAAGGATCCTACGAATCTATATGAGTTACAGTCTAAGCTCCTTGAAGGGTTGGTTATATAGGGGACCTTTCTAGGCGATATTGTATTGGGGGGAACTAGGAGTTTAGAGTATAACTCATATGGTACAAAAGAAGCTTTCTAGATTATGAGCTGAGAATATGGTTTGGGTTAGTATCCCCATATACAGGTACTTATGCATCCTTTGGGCAGCATTATGCGTGGATCTCGGAAGTTTTTGTTAGGGCCATCAAGGATTTAGCGGAATTTTGAGTAACTCCTAAATGGGGGCTTCAAAAAACATTAGGGATGCTTCGTTGGCTGTCGGCGTCTGAGGGATCATCATGCCGCCCTGGGAGCATAGGCGAGGTCCTCATTCTTACGAACTTGAGTTTAGCAGAATAGGGTTCTAGAGCCCAAAGACTATACTATTAATGGTATTTGGGCCCTAAAACCCTACTATTTGGGTCCTTGGACCCTTAGGGGAGGATTCTAAAAAATCCGGAATCCCCAATCCAATTTTGCCTACCTGGTACTTGTTTGGGGCGAGAGTCTCGGGCCTGTCAATTAACTTTCCATTGCCGGGATCTATTCCGGTTCTTGATTCGGCTAGAATTTTTGCTCTATTCCGTACTCATTAATATTAGCCAAAAGTTCGTTCTATGACGAACCCATCTATTTATGACTACCCAACATTAAGCCCTAAACTCCTAAACCCTAAGCCCAGTAAGAGGTAGCATCTAAGGCTTCCGACAATAACATGGCACCTAAAAAGGGTATCTTTGTGGACTGGAACCCCTTTAAGAGCGGGGGAAGTAGTGTGTTCCATGTTAATTGGGGGGATGGTGCACTGTGAGTTAAACAGCAAGCAAGATAGGCAACTCAATACATGCTCCAGTCCTTTGCGGATGCCCATGTGAATCTGGAAGTGTACCCCTTCTTGAACACCAGGAGTGCTGTAGATCTCCTGAGGAAGCATAAATTACCAAGCGAAGGACGCAAAACAAAGCTTCATGGGTTTTCCCAACCACCCCCACTGTACAACCCCCCCTGGTTCCCTCTAAGTTTGCCTGAACTACGCCGAACTATCGTAGGCTAATGTCAACTCAGGGTCCAGAGTGAACCTAAACCCTAAACCCTAAACCCTTAACCGCGCCCAGGGAGGGGGGATAGCAAAGGGGTACAGTAGGGGCCCCATGACAATTCATTGTTCAGAGCCGATGACCTGATAAGTACTGATAAGTGTATGACCTTCCTTTACGTTTTGTGGTTTAGGGCTCGTGGGTTTAGGGTTTCGGGCCTAAGGGCTTAGGGTTTAAGGCCTAAGGGTTTAGGGTTATTGGGTTTTGGCTTTATTAGGGCAGTTTAGCATCTTCCAGCACCTTCAGACGAAGAAGACAGCACATGTGTGGACTCAACGATCATTCTCCCCTGGCAAAAAAATGAAACCTAAAACCCGGCCTTTACAAGAAATCACCCTTTCGGTGGTCAAGCTTTGCTACGAGACACTCACAAAAGAAGCTTCAGCTTCCCTAAACCCTAAACCCTAAACCCCTAACCCCTAAACCCTAAACTGAACACCCACCGTCCTTAATGGTGCTGTTCCCATACTGCCGGCAGATAGGGCAGTTGGCGGCCAATGTGTAATCAAAGATCGGCTTGTGTGCAGCAGCCAGCGTTGCAAAAGCCAAGAACTTCAGAGCCATGGCGGTCAAATCCTAGTATCCTACACGCTTGGAAACATCAATGGCTGCAAGCTTCAAGAATCGTGTGCCCAGTTGTTTGTCCTGAAAGCGGGCATAGCTAAAAAATAATCTATTTATCATGAGCAGCCTAGGACATGCTCTGGCAGGGTGTAGGTTCTGGGGAGAAGTGCAGGCTTTAGCCCTTAACCGTTTCTAGGTTTTAAGTTTCTCCCTAAGTCACGGAACAACTTGAGGCGGGTTCTGTGGTTCCAACTATGCCCAGTTGCTGAATGCCTTAGGCCAACAAAAACCTACACATCCTACACTCATAGATTTTTTACAGGAACCCAAGGAGTGAAAAGTGCATATACCTACTTTGTTATTGTTTGAAGTAAGCTGCAGCTTACTGCCCTTTAGTGTAAGAGGAAGAGTTAAAAACACGTTCTATCATCAGCGAAACATATGGGGTGATCCGAAACGCCCCAAATAAGGACCCGCACATCATGATATCACTCTGATCAGGTCATGGTACAGGAGTTGGATCTATGAAAACTCTCTTATCAACCCTAGCGTGAGACGCACGCAAAATGATTGGAAGAACTCATTACATGCAGGAATTTTCTCCTAGAGGGTCCAAGGACCCAAATAATAGGGTTTTAGGGCCCAAAAACTATCAAATTAATGGTAATTGGGCCCCAAAACCCCATTATTTGGGTCCTTGGACCCTTAGGGTCTCCTCTGTTCTTCAACCCTCAACCGTGAACCCTAGATCCCATACTCTAAGGCCGAAACTCTTTAGCCAAAATCATACACTCGAAATCATAAGCCCTTAGCCCTACATCCTTAACTGCAAGTCCTTGATTCAGGAACCAAGATTCTAAACCCCGCCCCAAACCCTAAATCCTAAGTCCTAAGATGTTTAGCGTTTAAGGTTTAACACTTAATACCCTAAATCCTACAGATCCCACTTCAGGCTTAAACCCTAAACCCCTAAACCCTAAATCCGGGGTATAGGGATTTAGTGTTTTTGGGTTGGAGTTTAGGATGCGTATCCCAGTAGCTCAATACTTGCGACTAGGGTGACTGTGATTGTGTTACAGGTTGTGGAGACATCGAATATATGTGCATACCTGGACCTTCAGGGATAAGTACCTAATCTCCTGGGAAATGTGATCCTAAACCCTAACCCCTAAGCCCTACACCCTAAACCCTAAACCAGAAGTGTCATAGTTAATACTAAGGGCATGCAGGCTTTTCAGTATCATCAATGTTCTACGCATCCAGCCAGGTAAGAATGACATACAGGGCACTCTCACGCTCATGACCCTGCTTTCCGGAAGGTTCCTTGCGCGGGCATTAGGAATTGGCATTTGATCCTTGAGGCTTGGGGTCTAAGGGTCCAAGCACTGAAAAAAAAAAGCAAATACTACATTCTCAACCTGTTCATACATATCCCGCCAACATTTGGGTACGTGGAACCTCAAAAACATCATTTGTCTTGCGACGACGCGGCCAACGCGGCTATGTTACACTGTCGTGGACAAGCCGTTGGCGGTGCTCCAAAGAGTGTGGGAAGGAATCTAAACCCTAAACCCCTAGAGATTGGGTACTTCCCCCACCCAGTAACAGTCTATATTAGGGGTCCTATAAGGGGTTATATATAACCACATTATATTTGTTCTCCAACTGTGAGTGAGGGGGGGCAGTACCCAACCTAGAGACCTTATGGAGATTATTTTCGGGATCCACTCCCACTACCCCCCCTAAGCACCAGCACGTAGCAGAGAGAGGATGTTCCTTGAATTGAAAACCATCATGGAGGACCGAATATAGCAGGGCTCAGGGTTTGGGGTGTAGGGTTCAGGGTTTAGGGATTACTGGCTAGTACATTACGGCTTGTTATGGTATATTATGCCATTTGGGTAGTATTAGAGTTCTATGGGGGCTATAAATGGAGGACTCGTGATGCCTTAAGTGGGATTGCGGGTTTAGAGCCTAAGGTTGATATTGGGATTTCAGGGTTTGGAGTAGGGTTTAGGGTCTACCTAGACCCCCGAAGTACCCTCTATGGACGCTAGGTATCACCACATAGAAGCTGCATAGACCCTATTTTAGGGTACTTGGGGGGTCTAGGTAGGGTCTAGGGTTTAGGGTTTAGGGTTGCTGTTGTTCGGGGCTTAGGGTCTCAGCACCTCGTACTCAATCACGTAGATCTAGACACTGGTAAGTATCGTACAGGGTTTTGTCTGAGGGTAAAAGGTTGAGTACTTGGACCCTAGTGTTTCAGGATACTCCCGGGCTAACTCTGACCCGTCCTCCCCTTATCTTCTCACCCCAACAAGAAACACGCCCCAATGCAGCGCCGGTCTATATCGAAGGGGGAATGTTAAAACCTAAGCCCTAATGTTTAGGTAGAACTAATAAAAGGGGCGACAGTAGCGGTTTGTTGCCGGCCCAGAAAAATCCCAGACAATCAAATTTGCTTTCTAACAAGTTCGGAGCCCGAAAATACATAATCGAGTCCAAATCGCAATAATAAAATGGTGGGAAGTTGGGAATAATTTAACTGTTTGGCCGGAAACGTCCCGATTTTAATAGATTCCTCTCTACTTGTCTTACTGGTATTACGAGCTGCATTCCCCGTCATGTACTATTAAGCCCAAATCGCAAAACAAGTTCTGGGGGGGTTATTATTGTCACCTAAACATTAATACCCTAAACCCTATTAAGGTTATGACAGGGAGGTGATGACTTCACACCTGTCCAGCACTGTACACATTCGCATTCCCCGGGCTCCGATAAGCGCTGCTGCTTTCCGACCTCAGGACTGGCCATAAAGATCTTAGACCTCCACATGTGGGTGGTTGTCAAAATGCTGATCCCTTTTTGGGAACCCTAAATATTAGGTGCCGTATGATAATAGGGATCCAAAAAGGAACCATAATTTCGACAACCACCCATATAAAAAAGCCTTCTACCCCACACTTTAAGGTAGGATCAAGCAGCTATCTGGGAATTTCTCAAGGGACAGATACGGATGATATAGTAGTTTCCCAAAATAAGGGTAGCCCAATATAGACCCCAAAATACTATAGTCCTTATTATGGGAACCCCCAAAATGGTACCCCTAATTTTGGGAAACCCCCATATAGGCATTGGCATCTGAGCTGGGTTGTCAACATTGAGGTCTTAGGGCGTCCTTATTACGGGGCTCCCTTGTGTGGGGCCCTGGATGACACACTGAGCTTTAAGCCCTAAGCCCCAAATGGCGAGCCCTTTAAAGCTACTAAACCTGGCTCTAGTGCTTGCACCCCTGCCCTGGCGTTATTCTTGGTCTGGGTTTTAGGGTTTAGGGTTTAGCTCTGCCTACGACTTATGGGACCTGAACCCCCGATATTTGATAATTTGGACCCTGAGGGCTAATCATTGCATGCCTCATGGTGCTCGCGTGAGCTCACAACCCCAACGGAATCCCAAAAAGGCTTCCTGAGACTGATCTGCACAAACTCTGATGTCTTATGCCAAATATAGGGGACTACATGACTAGAGTGGTGCGTTGGAGCTAATTATGGTGTAGGTATGAGAGTTTGAAAAGTGAAATGGCAATAGTTCAAGCTCCTACAGTATGCACACGTGCACGGGGTATGGGTTTATCGTTTACAAGACTATTTGAACAGCTTGGCTTTTAGCATGTAAGCTTCCCGTGGCTATGCCCTAAACCCGCAACTGTCTTGGAGCATTCGGCTGCTCAAATAGTGGGCTCAAGCAGTTGAAATGCTCAGAGCCATTCCGAGTTTAAACCCCAAACACTTTAGTGCTTGGGACCGAAAACCTCAACCCTAAACCCCAGACCTATCCCACAGCCCTGCGCCCTGCACCCCAAATCCGAACGCCAACACCACCAATCCCGTATTTGCGCACCTAGACCCGTAGGTCAAGTTTTTTCAGTTCTGGCAACGGGCCCCATTTTTGCGTGCTCAAACCCCGAAGACCCTCACCCTACCACCTATGTTATGATGGCCGAAAAACCATGAAAAACAACTAGAGCCACCCTAAACCCTAAACAAAGTGACTACGAGACGATTATTGAGGTTCTGATACAGGGATTGGTCATGAAAGATCTAGAACGCCAAGGAGCCATCAACCAAAAGCAAAATCCCCAAAAAACATAAGCCCCAAACCCAGAACCCTAAACCCTAAACACTAAACACTAAACCCTGAAGCCTAAAGCATAAACCCTAAACCCCTAAACCCTAAGCCCCAAACCCAGAACCCTAGACCCTGAACAGGAAACCAAACCTCAAATTTGTAAACCTAGACCTTAAATTTTAAACCCCAAACCCCCTAACTCCTATAAACCCCAACCCCTGCGGGCCCAGACTGACATACCGAATCTGTGGACGCCGTGCTGCAAGTGGAATGAACATCTCTGCAGGCCCTGCAGCACAGTTTACTGGGCCAGGGGGACTTAGTACGTAGGTTAATTATGGGGATAATTGGGGTTACTATATGGCTTATAGGAGTTATTAGAGAGCTTATAGACATTCTGGAGCTTATAGGACGACATATCTTTGTTTGAAGAAGAAGGTCTTGGATATCATTTGAAGATAGTTGCAATGAAAAGCCTAAAGGGACAGACACTGCAGAATGACTTGGCCATCGCGGCTATATAAGGCATTCAATTAGGATTTACGTAATAAGAAGGTTGTACTAACCCAAACCCACCAAATTCGGACCCTACAGGTAGCAGACAATGAGCATGATAGGGTCCGAACTTTGGAATTTACCAACTTCATGTTATCAATCTTGGGTTCAGAGGAAAAGCAAAGCACCAGAATGAACATTCAACTGTGGACTGACACTGGCATAGCCCATATATGCTTGTTGCACAACCGCCGGGAAATACTGCCCCAATCAGCGATGCAACTGCCTTGCGTTCGTCCAAAGAACTTAATATCCCCTAGCGTTTAGGGCCTCAACTCCTAGTATCCCCCTTNNTATAATAGGAACCCTATGTAGTC